CCTGGCAGAGGAAAGCGAGAGGGTGGTTAGCGTTTTGTGGATGCGATTTGCTGCGAATGTATTTTGGTTGAAAAATGCAGCCTCTGCGACCGGAACTACATTCGTACGTTTTTGTCTCTGCGACTGGAAAAAGGCATTGGGGAGGGTTTGGGTGCTTGTAAAAGCTATATTTTTTTGTTAAAAAAGAATATAGATCGTAAAAACCCCACTAAATATATTTTGCCTATGTCTATATACACACATATATACAAATATATATATGTGTCTATATAATATATAAATATTTTTTGTATACACACCCAAAAAATACTTAATTATTTTGTGGAAAAGGAATTTTTTATCTAGAAGAGTTAATAAAAATGCAGACCTGTTATTTTTGCCTTGGTTTTGAGTTAGTGCAAACATTCTTTGTGTGAATCCCGTTCTCCTGAGCTCTGCCAAGGATCCTTCAATCTTGGCATTTGTACTTTTTGAGTCAGTCCTGGTTTCCTCCGTGTTCTCAAAAGAATGTTTCTTTGCCGCCAATATCGGCGTCGCTGTCAGTGTGTCTTCAGTGGACGTTCTGGGACAATATTCACGCTGCCAAACCTCAGGTCTGTAAGTCAGGAGCCCAAGTTGCCTACAGTCAGCCTAACCCTTTTTCTCAGGAAGTGAAGAGAGATCAGGTTAGCATCTGTGAGTAATCTCATGTGTCTCCTTGTGGACTGGGGTCAGGGAACACACAGACTGAAATGCTCATTTGTGCATCTCCCTTAGGTGGAATGAATCCAGGTCCTACCACCCAGCTAGGACCAGTTCTGCTGTTGGAACTATTATTTGCACTGCAAGAGCCAAGACTGTGACAGCTTCTTATATTTTTATTTATTTAATCTCTGTACCAGTCATCCTAGCATGTGTTTTTATTTACAAAAATAAGTACAGGTTGGCATCTTTTGTTCTGTACCTTTTCCTTGCATTCGGTTTTGTCTGTCATACTAAAAAGCAATTTTATGACTGAGGGTATCCTGCTGGGAGAACACCTATCATATTCTGGGAGCGCTGACAAAACTGAATGGGAATTAAATAAAGTAAATGGCATCAGTTGTTTTGAGAAGTGATTTTATGTTAAAGATGTGACCTCCTCAGTAGTCCAAAAGAATCAGGCTGAATTACAGTCTCTGTGGAGACCAGGCCAGGAGCAAGGATAACAAGTGGAATGTTTAACTGTGTGCCAGAAGATTTTTGCTCATTTCCAAAGGATACTGTGAGGGACTTTTGAGCAAAGCAGAAAGAAAGGCATAAATAGGTAGAAGGTTGATTTACTGTTGAAATGATATTGAATGGTTTCCCAGTTAAGGTAGGTAGCATCATTATTAATCACAGCACAATTAAGAGGCACTTATATATGTAAGCTATAGTATGCTAAATGGTACGCAAAATTCCCTTATATTACAAGCTACTGAATTATCAAAATGTTCGTGCATAATACAGTGCAGAGTAGGCTGAATACTGACTCTCCTTATAAGAATATTTACATTGTCTTAGCCTCGGTATAGACACAATGAGATAACCTTTTCACTTTGGGTGGGTTTTGAGAGAGGAGTATCCCCTGTGTGAGGCTTTTACTTTGGGTGTCACTATTCACTTCATCAAATTTCATCATCCCCTGCTAACAAATTGGATGTAACCACATTTCTTCTCCTGGAAATGAGTTTGAATAAAAGCTGTGGCTTCATTATGTTTCTTTCTAAAACTGCAGAGACTATTGGATTTTCCTATGAAGATATATCGTGATGCTACTCTTCCCATCCTTTCTCATTGTTAGGAAAATATGGTACTCCGTTGCCCACAGTGGAGCAGAGAGGCATAATTTTGCTTTCTGAAAGACCTACCCTGCTGTAAGCTTGAAATTGCAAAACCGCCTCCTATTCTGCTTAAAATCTGAGTTAGCACCTTGCAAAGCATTGAGTAGTAAATAGCTCAGAAAGCAAATAAAATAAACTGTCTGCAAATTAATTTTAAAAGGCAGTGTGAGCTTTTTAAGATCCGCTGGTGTTGTTGAAAATGCTACTGAATCAGCAGTGTTCCATCACTGGTGTTTCGAACTAAGTCTGACTCTACAGGCAAAATACTTTAGACATTACAAGGAAAGGTTAGGAGGCATCAGAAATCAATCTGTTTTTAAATCAACACTGGAGTGGCTAAAGCATGTGTATAGTTAAGTGAAGGCAAAGTTGTGCTTATTGTTCCTTTTAAAATCATTACCCTTCAAAAAGAGGTTTGATTCAGATTTAAGAAAGAGATTCAAAAAGAGTTAAGTTTATCTTGAAAGAATTTAAATCCTTACTGATACACTGAAGATAATAAACTTACTACTATTAATAAATCTCCGCACCTCACATTCTGTATCTTGGTGTCAAAAATTTCTGTAAAATACAAGTATTTTGGAGGAGTGGAGGATGAGTTTGGTATTTTTCTTTCTCATTGGTGAAGTAACATGTTTCTAAGTGGAGCTGGTCCTTGCCTAAGCTGAAGGCTTTTTTTAAAAAAAAAATAACCTCCAGAATACTATCTCAAGAAGAACCCCGAAGTTTGGCTTTGCTGTGAGCAAATAGAATGAGCCTGAGGTGCAAGTTTTAAGTTGTTTCTTGGGTTTTTGTGACCTGTT